CAGAGCTTCCTGTGTTTCAGCATGTGCCCATTGCCTCTGGTGGTGTCACTGTGCAGCATCGAAAAGAGCCCACCTCCATCCTCTTTGCACAGGACTGGAAAGAGCCCAGCTCCATCCTCTCTGCACCCCCCTTGCAGGTATTCATATACATTAATAAGACACCCCTCCACCCTCAGCCTTTGCTTCTCCAGGCTGAACAGTCCCAGCTTTCACAGCTTTCTCTCACAGGAGTCACGCTCCAATTCCTTAATCAACTTTGTGGCCCTGTGCCAGGCTTTCCAGTCCTCATGTATACTGTGGAGCACAGAACTGAACACAGTACTCCAGACATGGCCTCAGCACTGCTGGATAAAGCACGAGGATTCTTAACAACCTCCCTTGACCTGCTGGCAACATTCCTCCTAATGCAGCGCAGGTTACAGTTAGCCTACTCTGCTACAAGGACACACTGCTGGCTCATTTTCAAGTTGGTGTCCACAAGGGCCCCCAAAGCCTTTTCTCCAATGTTTCTCCAACAACTACTTTACAGACCACTGCCACCCAGCAGATACCAGGGCACAGGGCTGATCCTCCCCAGGTGCAAAAGTTTTTACTTTCCCTTCTTGGAACTTCAGGAAGCTCCTGACAGACTATTTATCCAGCCTGTTGAGGTCCCTCTGGATGGCAGCACGACACTGACTTATCAGTCACTCCTCCCAGTTTAATCCCATCAGCAAACTTGCCCAGATTTCACTCTGCCCCCTCACCCAGATAATTAACTGTCCTGGATTCAGCAGTAGCAGTCATTTTTTCTCCTTTAGTAGCTGGTACAGTGCTGCGTTTTTGACTTTCAGCCTGGGAACAGCACGGATAACACCAATGTTTTTAGTTGCTGCTCTGTAATGTTTAGTCTGACCAAGGACTTTCTGAGTCTCGTGCTCTGCCAAGGAGGAGGGGAAGCCGGGACGAAGCAGAGACAGGACACCTGGCCCAAACTAACCAAAGAGGTATTTCATACCACAGCACATCATGCCCACTATAGAAACTGGGGGCGGTTACCTGGAAGGGCTAGATCACTGCTCAGGTTGGGCTGGGTATCAGTCAGCAAGTGGTTCTCTTCCCTTGTTATTTCCCTTATCATTATTATTGGTGGCAGCAGTAGGGATCTGTGTTATACCTTAGTTACTGGACTGTTCTTATCTCAACCCGTGGGAGTTACATTCTTTTGATTCTCCTCCCCATCCCTCTGGGAGCTGGGGAAAGAAGCGGGGAAGTGAGAGAAGGGCTGCGTGGTTTCTGGGTTGCCATCTGGGCTTAAACCATGACATTAACGAAGATATTAAGCAGCATTCAACTCAGTCCTGACCCCTGGAGTGCACTGCTACCTACTAGCCTATCACTAGACTTTGCACCACTGATCACCGCTCCTGGGCCCGGCTAGTTTCATACTGACCTCAGTGTTAGCTCACCCAGGCCATACTTCATCAGCTTCTCTATGAGAATGTCCTAAGAGACTTATCCTGTGGAACTCTTCCAAGCAGAACCATGCAGAGGCCAGAGTCTGATCTCGTGATGTCCAAAGCAATGATCTTGCTTTCTAATACTTAAGCCAGGCTCTCAGAGAAGGCAGGTACTAATATCAGTAACTGACTAAATCAGAAATAGATTATGTTAGTTTCTGCCAGGGACCATACAGCTTAAAGGAGATGTGAGCTAAACTGTAACCAACATGCTGAACTTCTTTTTTAATAAAATATTACCTAGAAAGTCTTAAAAAAAAAAACCCTCTGCCCAAAAAACATTAAATATCTAAAAAGTTTTAGAAAGTCGTGTATTAAAAATAATCTATATATTAGGTATAACAAATATACCTTATTCTTTAGTTAGACTGATGCTTATCCAGAATGAGCTTATTGGCAAGATATGAAGAACATTTCTTATAAAATACAGTGTCACCTTTCAATTCAAAAGCTTATTTTTTTCATATTATCTTATTTTTCTTATTATTGTTAGAGCACACTTACAAGCTAATTTAATAGTTATATTTATGCCTAAATCTTATCAGTTAGCATTAGCTGGACATAATTTTTTTTTCTCTTTTTGTTAGATCTTCTTGATTCCTGTTCTTACTGAATAAACATAGCAACTGCAAGTGCAACAGTGCTCTGGGATTTCTGAGTTTGCCTTCCCCCCCCCCCCCCCAAAGTAGGCCATTATAACCAATACAGAAATAAAGCACAAGGTTAATAGTAATAAGGTACTTATAACAGCAAATTGTTGAGTGATTTGTCTACTGTTTAATTTGCTGCTAGGGTTCCTTCAGAAATCTGTTAAAACTACTTCCTTTCCCCACACACTCTCTAAACCTCAAAGCTTTGAAATTACTTTCCAATTGTTTTAAACATATGAAAAGATATTTCCATACTCTCCCTTCTTTTTTAAAACTAATTTAATGTGTTTTCTGTGTTGTTTTTTTTTCTTTTGAAATATATGCTTCATTACTGTATACGTAATATACAGTATATATACTGGACTTAGACATTGCTCTTTATCCCTTGATTATTTCCATCTTGAGTCATTTATGTTACAATATATTTTTTGTATTGACAGTATGTAGCTGTAAACTTGTTTCCTTCCACCCCAAATATTCTCTGGGTAGCAGTCTTTAGCAATTTTCAGGACAGCCACTTTAAAGGAATATGTAAGATTAAACAGAGGAGAAGATCAAATGTCTTTCTTGACTTGGATCAGAGCATTTGATGTCAAAGCATAAATGGAGGTCCTCGGATTAGTTACAGTGTCCAAAACTATCACAGTACAGAAATTCCTTTCCCATTCTATTCTATGAAGGTCTTTATATACTATCAATACCTGTCTGGAAGTTTTGAGTTTTATTTACTTCATTACAAGAACATTTACTTCCTACATGCCATGAATCACAGTATCAAAACCTGTGAGTCACTACTGCTCTAAAAAAAAATAAAATTATACCTACAGTCTTGGGGTGTGAGGAATAATAAAGGAATCTAATAGGAAAACACACAGAATTAAACCTCCCTCCCAAATCTAAACACCTTCCTTGAACAAATCAGACATTTCATTTATCTAGCTTAGTCCTTAACAATCCACTAACATGAACCATACCATGAAGCACACCACTCCAGCCTTTTAATCAGTGGATGGATTCATAACAGATCTGAAGGTCCATTGCCTTATAAACTAAACTTTTTAAAAACAAATTCAGAGGATGATATTTTATATGCTTGTACTGCTGTTCCAAGAGTTCCAAGGGTAACTATGACAGACTTAAGCATCACCTGACTCGAATACACATAAGTTCATCAGTATTAGAAATGCCCAATTTTAATTATTTACTCAGTTATACCAACATGAAAAGTTTCACTAAAGCTTCCATGGGAACTGACTTAATTGGTGAAAAGGTTGATCTCAACAAACAAACAGAAGTTTGAACAGAGGCAGGCCTAGAAGTTAAAAGGACTTACAGAGGCAAAACTTGAAGCAAAGTAATTTCAGCTGCCTTCGCCCCAAGCTTTAAACTGAAAGATGGCAGATTTATATTAGCTATTAGGAAGAAGTTCTTTACTGTGAGGGTGGTGAGGCATTGGAACAAGTTGCACAGAGAAGTTATGGCTGCTCATCCCTGGCAGTTTTCAAGGCCAGACTGGATGGGGCTTTGAGCAACCCAGTCTAGTAGAAGGTGTCCCTGTCTATGGCAGGGGAGTTGGAACTAGATAAGCTTTAAGGTTCCCTTCCAACCCAAACCATTCCACAATTCTGCATTCAATAAACACACTCAGTTCTTACTTCAAAATCTGCAAATATATATTCATATAACATTGGGGGTTGGGCGTTAATATATAAACATTGTCATTTATTATTTCATTTATTATCAATTATAAAAATGCCCAAACAGCCAATGTCCTTCAACCTCCCACAATACAATCTAGGTTGGTAGGCAAGAAAGAGGATGTAAGCTTAAGATGACTGCAAAGCCTTCATAAACAATAGTGCTAAATGTGTTCCACTTTCCAGTTCACTGACTCTATCAGCTACTTAACAATATGAAAAAAAAAAAAGCATCATGGTAATATATTGCAAGCGATAAGCTATTAAAATATTAACACTTTTAAAAATAAAAATAATAATGCTCCTTTCTGAAGAATGTTTGCACAGGCCAACTTCTGACAATTTTTAGTAATAAAAGTAATATCTGATTTATCCAAAAGATGAAAAATTACTTCAAAACATTACTGCTGTGTATAGGATAGTAAAACATTGGAAGGAGGATGGACATCCAGGAAGTGAAAAGCAAACTGCTGATGAGTTGAAACAGAAGCAAAAGAAGTTTTGTAGAAGAAAGCACCGATAAAATAGATCTTCATAAAGAATAACAATAGTGTCAGTCTTAAAGTGAAAACTGTTGCTGAACTGAATATTCATGATAGCTTAAAATAAATTACACAAGAAACTGCTAACTTCCAGTAAAATCAAACAAATGGCTAAATATATTGACATCAGATTTTACTACAATATGGCTATACTTCATATATGACATAGGCAAATACTTATCTTTTACCGATACATGAAAGATGATACAAGATATACATGCATACATGTAGGGATCAATAGCAATACACAGTGCTGTGGTTTTCATTATGGACTATATCATAAGCAGAATTCACCCCTCTGCCAAAACACGTTGGCCATTCAGACTAGAACTAGATTAGTTTTGTAGCAAATGGTTTGATACACTCATAAACTACACAGAAGTGGATTAACGAAAACAGACAGGAGGTGCTGTCACCTGTATCAGGCTGTACCTATAGGAAACTGTCAGCTACAGCAGCCAGTCATAGGAAAAACCTTTGGAAGCCCGTAAACGGCTCACTCTCCCAACTGCCATCAGAGTAACAGTTCAGATTAAAACTTACTAGCACATTATGCCCTATCCTGTCTGCGAAGCACTTCACCTGGCTGGTGTAGCTGACATCCTCCCTTACCTTACCCCTGGCCCTAGCTGCAGTCCTGCAGTCTCTTGGCGTGCTGAAGCACTCAGCGGGACTTCAGAGGGACTTAAGGAACCGAGACGCTCAGGGAAGGCGTGGGGCGCAACAAAACTGTTTGTGAGCAGGGCCAGTACCAGCGCCCAGAGCCGACTCAGGGAGAGCAGCCTGCCGGCCCTGCAGGCACGCCGCCGCGCCACAGCAGACCGACTCGAGTCCGCAGGAGCTGCCTGGCCGGACTCCGCCGAGGGCCGCAGTTCCAGCAGCACAGCGGCAGCTGTCTGGCCGGGCAGGCCAGCAGCAACCGCACCTCCTCCCGCCCCGTGCACCGACTGACCTGCGCCGCCACCGGGGCCAGGCCGCCAGGCCTCTGCAGAGGTAACGGGTACGACAGTTCCCGCTTCGAGCCTCCTAGTGAAGGCCTGCACGGAGGGCGCCTCTTCGGGCAGCCTCGAGAACCCACCCAAAAGCCCCTCGGCTGCGATCGCCAGCCTACTGGCACTATCCCGCCAGCAGACCTTGCCAGGTCATAGAGCCACCTCCTGCTCCCTAGAGAGGCTGCAGCATAAGCAACTGTTAGCACAGGTAACCGCCTAGACCGGCTCTGCAGGAAGTACTCTGGGAGCCAGCGATGACGCGCCAGAAGAACTCCCTGCACCGGGTCCGTGCCCGGGTGAACCGTGGGGCTCTTTGATTGACGGGCAGTAAAGCCAGTCAGCGGCGCTGGTGAGGAGCCAATGGGAGAGACAGGAGGGGGCGTTGACTCGGGGCTGAGTGTGGCGAGCGGGCTCAGGCCGAGGGGTTTAGTGGGGTGCGGGTGGTTTCTGGGTGCTTTTCGGTCTCTGAGAGCGGTTCGGAGTCCCGATAAAAGTGGAGCTGCAGTTTCGCTAGTGCGAGTGCTTCAGCTCGGCAAGCGCTAGCAGCGGCTTCTGCTCTGCTCGGCCCGGCCGGCCGGCTGTCCGGCGGTGGAGGGACTTCCGACTCGGGATGGGGCGGTCACCGAGGGTGGTACGGGGCGGCGAGGCCGAGCAGCCTGGGGTTGAGGATAGCCTAGGGCAGTGAGGGGTTTCAGTAGCGTTTCCTGACAGGGTTCGTAGGGCTGTGAGAGGAGAAACTGAATAGACTGTAAGTACTGCAGGCCCGTATTTCTCCAGCAGCTTCAGCGCTGTTTGAGGCGTGGTTGATCGTTTGGTGCCTGGCGTTAGTGACAGCCAAGTTCTCCCTCACGGGTCTGGGAGTGTTTAGGTGTCTCAGGAGGTATTATTTGAATGTATTATGCAGTTGAGGAAGGTTGCATTGGAAAGCTGGTTATTATAGTTCTAGGAAGCAAATAAAGGTAACTTTCTAAGATTTTACTGTATGAACAGATTGAGAGGCATCTACATTGTTAATTAAATATAAAAGATGCTCAGCTAGTGATTTATTTCCAAACAGTAACTATGTTTACTCTTTGTTTGTGAATACAGGTTTACATATGACATTAAGGGTCCTAATTCTAAGTATACCTTGCTGAGATTAATTATGCTAAGGAGGCTGGTGGAGTGGGGGGATTCCATGGGCATGTATTGGTGGATTTTATGCTACTTTTTTTGTGACTCAGACCCAGGAAATTAGCTACCACTCTGGACTACTTGTGGTGTCACAAAACAGGATGGAGCCCTTTGTGAATGTTATGATCTTGAAAGAACAGTTTTGTTGAATATTTATGTGTAATTTTCCACAATGGCAAAGCATCTTCAAAACAGTGCCTAACTGTTAACAATGAGTAATTCCTCTTTTAGAGCTGTTTGAAGTGGATAAGTCTAATTCATATAGCTGATTCCACAAAATGGGGATTACATCTTTTATATGGAAACTTCATTTTAAGCAAAACAAGTTTACCTTTTGAGCTAGGATGGCTCTTCTGATTCACAGAAAGACATTGTAGTGGAAAGGTTATGACCACTAATCAAGGAGAGACTGTCACACTCAAATGTTTAGATAGCCTACCATGTACCTCTGTTATTTGCAGTGATTTTTGCTTTGAAGCAAAACCACATGATAATTTATTTCTGCTGAGGTGCAATTTAATTGAATCATGGAATTCATTTTCTGTTATTTATTATCATTTCATGTTTGAATTAGAAACAAAAACACTTCCTTGTGCAGGACACTGTGAAGAGCTTTATCAGCATTTAAAAACCTTGGGAAGTGAGAACCTATGTGACATGAGCATAGAGAGAAAGGCAATAGAGGGCCAGTAACTGAAGACTGAAGCAATGTGTTGCTTCTTTTCTGAGGTTGATACTGTTGTGACTGTCTCTGGAGCCACACTTCCTAGGTTAGAGTTTGCTCCCCAGCCTCTTGCCTGTGTTTTGGCCTGATGCTCCAGATGCAGCTGACCATCTGTCACATGAGGGCTCTGAACAAAAGCTTGAGATGCTAAGTTGTCAATGCTTGGAATACTTACAAACCCTGTAACAGGAAGTGTAACTGGGGAGTGCTGAACAAGTCTCACATGCAGAATAAGTTTTGACAGGATTTCTGAACATGAGTTTCAGAATAGTTTGTGAGTAACTCATGATGAAGCTGCCTTTCCTCATTCATTCCAGTACCTGAAAGAAACGGTAAACAAATAGGGGTAGTTAGTATCTGAAGTTTGTCCTTGCTTGTGTACTCATCTGACCCATTTCCTCTTGCTGTTCCTTTTGCTGTGTTTATGAGGAGATCATCTGGACCCCATGCCGCTGAGAAAGCTCTTTGTCCTTCAGGACTCAGTGTGAACAAAGATGACAAATTCATTGCTGATCAGATCACTTTTACAGACTGGATAGCCTCAACTTTTTCTAAGATGGAAAAGAGCATGCTTGTTTAAACTATACTACAGTGGTGAAAAAAAGGAGTTTTTAGAAATGCAGAATGAAATGACTTGCAAAGCAGGGCTACCTTTCTCTTTGGAAAAATTTAATGCCCCTTCCTCCCTGGAAGCAGTGCTTGGATTGTTGTGGTTCGCTGATGATTCAATAATCAAAATCTTATTTGTAGTGTCTTTGTAGCAGACTGCACAGATGAGGAATTTAGTCACTGCAGTTAATATTCTTGAAGCTGAAAACTGCAGCTAAGGGACTGTAATATGAAGAGTGGGGGATGGAAGAAAAATTAAAAGCTAGAGTATACCTTTGTCCAAGGTTTTCATTTGTGTCTAACCTTTCTGATCATCTCTATCCTTCTAATTCTTTCAGGAGATGATAGAAAAATGTCCTCTCTGACTACAGAAAAGCACTCTCAAATTTCCATACCACTACTTGAAATGTGGTGATGCTTTTAAAGCAGGCATTTTCCATGGCCTTAACTGCTCACAGGTCTATCCTAAACCCGAAGTAGCCGCTGTGCATACCTAGCAAGTACTGTTCATAAACATTTTTATAATGTTTGACCTTAAGAGTGACCTGAAGATTAATGGATATGTTGTATCAGTTTTAATGGGTCTCTTCTCCCTTGGATGCACACATGTGACTCCCATTAGCCTTAATGGGGGTTATATGTGTGCCTAGAGGTTAGACAAGATCTCTAAAGGTGCTGTTATGCTCTGTTGTATTAACGATTTCATAATTGCTGAGGTGCTGCACCTTTGCATTGAAAGCAAACTAATTAAATTGGTCTAGTATAAATTGGCATGCTAACATACCTGGCACGTATATGTGTTTTCCTGTGAGTCCCTCAGTACACAGTGGCAGAGGCCAAATCAAGTGTGGAATTTAAATTTTAACTATCAGTTATCTTCCTTTTTAGTTTGTCCTTTTTTAATTCCAGAACAATTTCATGAGTTTGATTCCTGAGAAAGATGATTGTCCATGCCAATACAGAAGAAGAAGCTGAAAGTGGTATTTTATTTTATCATTAAAGCATGTATTGAGAAAAAACACTGAATTGGTTCTTATTTTTGATGTTCCAAATCATGCACTTTGAAAAAGGCAGTTAGGTCTAGAGGATTAACATGAAGCTTGATGTTGAATTTTAATTATGGCTTTGTTACTCATTTCTTCCAAGTGCCTTTAGACAAAGCACTTCACCTTTCTTTGATTTCTTGGTGTGTAAAATATCTGCTTGTTTCTTAGTGTTGTAGACATAAATTAATATCTGTTCTCCACTTTGAAATGTTAAGATTGTTACATCCAGCTGTATGCTGGCATAATCATGACAGCACAAGAAGAGAAAAAAATCATAGTGCCTACCGGGTACAGCCAGCCGAAGCTCTGGTGGAGATGCACATCTGTTGAAAGAACTGATTCTATTCCATAGTTTATGGTGCATAAGGCAGTGCACGGGTACTGAAAATTCTGGTATTTTTTTTTTTGTGGAAGAATTGTACGCTAGGCGGTTTACACTTTATAGACATTATACATTTTTATCAATCAAAATAATTATTAAATTTGATTGTCACTGTGAAAATTAGTGTACTGTATTCCATGACGTTTGAAAATCAACCACGATATAGTCTTCTTTGAAAAAATAAACTTAGAAACAGAATGAATCTTAATACTTACATTCTGGAGGAAAAGAAGGTTTTACCATGTTATGTGGTAACCTTCCCATTTTTTTTATTTTTTTATTTATTTTGTCAAATTAAGTCATATTATATAAATTGTCATATAAATTCAGTTCTGCAATTCAGTTTTGCTTCAGAAGAATTTAGATTTTCTTTTTTCCAGCATAACTATGTTTATATTATTTTTGACAGTATAATAGTTGACAGAGAGTAATTTATTCTATCTGCCATATTTTAAGGGTGATTGAATACTGTAGCAGGTTATCCAGATTGGTTGTGGAGTTTCTGTCCATGGAAATAGTTAAAACTCAACTGGATACAACTCTTTAACAATCTGCTTTGAATCAGGGGTTGGATGAGACAATCTCCAGAGTTCTGTTCCAACCTCGGTCACCACATGATCTATAATTTGTGTAGTTACTTTGCTGACACTTTTTATTGTAGACCAGCTTTCAAGTATCAATTCAAATATTTGAAATGGTACTTGAGATTGAGTAGTTTTTATCCCTATCTTAAATTAAAAAGCACAGAAACAGAAACAATTAGCATGAAATGTTTGGATGCATGGAATGTTATAAGCCTGGACAGTTGAATACATACAACACACTGTGCTGAGTTTTCTCAGAGTGGAAAAGATAGAGGTATGCAAGATGCCTAATTTTTAGTCTCTGACATACTGCGTAAGTAAATATTGCAGTAAATGTTGGAATTGCATTAATTGCCTGTTTAATTTTTATCTGTAAACTCTTGATTGCCTTACAAATTCCTTTTATATCAAGTATCCATA